ATATATATTATTATAATATTGTAATCATCAATCATACAATTTTATTATTTTATTATTTCCCAATTGGAGTATTTGGTGAATTTCTTACACCTAACTTTGAATAATTTAAAAAAAAAAAAAAACAAAGGACATTTGTTAAACAATTTTGTATCATTAAATTTGTAAAACATTAGAAAACACTTTCGATAAATTAGATAATTAAATGAATAAAGCTATTACGACTAGTGACTGAACTTTAATAGAAACTAATCAGTTTATAAATAGGATACATCTTGAATTGATATATATATAATATATAATACATACATTCGTGTTACATTCTATATATACGTCATTCTAAATATTCATGTATTCATGTCGATTTTGATCATTCATGTTGCAACATTAAATCCAACCAACATATACAAATCAAGAATGAAACATTTAAATGCTTGTCTATCGAAATATTTCATTGTGTTATTAATTCATTTCAATTTCTAGTCAATACAACTAGGATATACACCATAAAAAAAAAAAAGAAAAAAATTAACAAACCTATTGAAAAAAAAAAAAAAAAAACAACACAATGATGAAAATCATGAATGCAATTGAAAAAAAGGGGTGTAGGGTGTCTTTTATCGAAGTAATGGTTCTACAACTGAGTAAATAATCTTATTAAATCGTTTTGCAACATTCGCATAAATGCATACATAAGATGATAACATGGAAAATATATATATATATAGAAAGAAAAGGTAAAGCTCACACGGAAGTCACGCGAGAAACGAATTAGAAGCCTAAACGTGTGTTGTTTACCGCTTTGGTAACATCGTCTAATCGAATTTACCTTATAACGCAACACGATTTCTATATTTCATCAAATGTCAACTATTGATATTAAATTTATCCCTTATTATTATTATTATTATTATTATTATTATTATTATTATTATTATTATTATTATTATTATTATTATTATTAAACAAAACTTTCTTAAACTTATCACCCATAAGACTAACTATAATTAAATTAAATCCAACTACTACAATCATCGTTATCCAATTTATTTGTTGTTTTATTATCAAATACAATTTTATTGTT